GGGGGGTGAAAGAAGAGGAAAAAAGACTTACTATTTGACCACGCTTAAATTCACTGAACCATGTCCCAGGAAGTTCTTTGGGCCATGAAGATATTTTGACCTGTGAAAAGCAAATCATATTAATTCCAGACAGGGTCATGGGTATTACACTTAGTGATGAGATCATGAACATGAGGGGAAACATCTTGTTGAATGAAGTAAAGCAGGAAAGTTTATAATCCAGGAATAGAAAATAAATACATTTACTATTTTAACATTTTTGGAATAGTGTTTTCAGAAACTTCCTAGAGTAAAATCATTCTACAGTATTATAGTCACTTACTCCATCAGACTTCTTATCAGGATAGATGCAGCTTTCGCCTCCGGCGGTGAAGTTACAGTAGACTTTGAAGGAATCCCCGGAGCAGCCTTGGTTTGGATCGATCCAGTACTCGCCTGAGGAGAACCAGGCACACTCAAACATCCGGTTTCACTTGTGTCCACAGAAAATGGCTTAATGCTCCTTTTCAAACGAAGGCATGCTAGAAATCCTTGATTCAATGGAAAGTTCTGTTATCCAGTAATTTAATTATCTTTGTCATGGCTTATAAACTGCTAGATAATAAGATGCTTTTATAGTGATCAGGTCTACATTTTGTGCAGCAATTTTCTAAATATTCTCCTCAATTATGTAAACTGAGGGCTCAGAGGTAAAATTGCTTCAATAGAGTACAATTGGGACATATTTTTAAACTTAGATGAACCAAAAGTAAAAAACTAAAATGTTCTAACATTGCTGAGCCCAATCTTCTCAGGGCAGTGTTTGCAATCTCTGTTTACAACAGAGTTGAAGTTTGATTTTCTTTCACTTGAGTATAAGTTTGACAGATGAACAGGTGTATTGATGAAGAACAACATTGGAGAAAATGGAGAGAATCTCTAGAGTCTCAAATACATTGGATTGAAAGAAGCTCTTCTCTGCTGCAGCCTGTCTTTGCGAAGTTGTTTTGTTGTTATATAAAATCTCTAGCAGCATTTATTTTCTCTAAACTCACACACTCCTGCTTTGGTTGAGCTTACCATCGGGGAACTCAGGTTGGCTGAGCTGCAGGTCCTTGCATGTCCTGGCAGGATTGTTCTGTGTGCCCATGGGGTATTTCATGCGCTCGATGTCTTGTTTGAGGTTGTTGAGTGAGCCGAAGATGTCCTCCATGCCCTCGCCGTAGTCCATGATGTTAGCAGCTGCGTCTGACTGCATGTCAATGGAGCGCTTGCTTCTCTTTGGAGACCGGATGGGCAGGGGCTGGATAACTTCACCAGGAGGGCCCTGTAGATAAGATTTAATGAAAGAAAACGGACTTTAATTGTTGAACAATTTTACAGTAGAGACAAAATATTACATAATGGGAAAAGAGACAACAGTAGTAGTCTTAACTACTTACAGGAGCACCAGGAGGACCAATTGTACCGGTGTCTCCCTTTGTACCAGCCGGACCCTGAGAGAAAAGAAACATTTTATCCACGATAAATCAAATGTACTACTATGATTATTTATATAGCACATTTAAAAACAAAAGGAGCTGCCTAAAAATGCTTTATAGTCTCGGCAGATGGGTTACCACATGTTTAAATACGGGTTTGAAAAACAATATGGGGGAATCTCATACTGTGACGCACAGTGACAGTATGTCTTTCAAAACACGATTGTACTCACAGATGAACCCTTGGATCCCTTGGGACCTTGAGGACCCTGCACAACACAGGACATAAGCACAGCAATTTAATAAATGCATTCCATCATCAGTGTAGATTCTTAATGAATGACTGAATCAGTAAAATACTTACAGGCAGACCAGGGGGACCTGGAGGACCAAGAGGACCAGAAGCTCCACTGATACCCTGGGAAAAGAAGAAAAGTCAGATATATGTTAAACAAACAAAAGGGATTATTGTGAGGCTTCAATAATGAGCACAATACAAATATATAATATTGGCACATGATTTGGAAGTGAGATTTAGTTTGTGAGCTGAATAAAAGCAGCATATTAACCCATAGAGAAGACATCTTTATTTCAGCCATCAAGGGACGGCCAATCACTGCACTTGTAAGATTGGGTTTCTTTGAACCCAGCCATTCACAATCTTAAAGCTCAATTTTGTCAGGAAATAATGCCAAACATTATGAGGCCTATTTTTTAGAGTCTAAAATAGAAATGGTAAACTGAGTGAAAACTTTTCTGAAGCCTGTGTGCTCTGACAAAGGGGTCATTATGATTTCATTAGGCTTAATCTCCAGATACTTCATCCAACCCATCATCTTAAATCACTAAGCTAGGGCAGTCCAAGGGCCACAGCGGGACAGAATAGCATATTCAGTCATGCTGCAATGTTTATTTAAAAATGGATGAAGGCTGTCATCATTCCTTTATCCAGACTGAGCCTTAACCTTCTTTCAGGACTGCTGCCTGTTTTTATGGAGGGCTCAGTGGCTGACAACAAAAAATGGTGACTTTAATGCTTTAGTTCAGAAGGAAACTTTTTCAGTGTTTTCCACCATGCAGTTATATTATCAGAGCAGGCATCGCATACACATAAGTGATTACAATCCAAGCAAAAAACTAGTTTGTGTTTGCAGTGTTGAAGATGCTCATTGGTAAACAGTGGGAAATTAGGAAGAATAGCTGAATTCCTTCGAACATAGATAATTAACAAAGTGTTATCTTCCCCAAAAATCTATTTTTTTACACATTCTTTATAATCAAATCTTGCAAAAGCTAAAACCAACAGAATGTTTGCCCACTGTGGATATTGAGAGTAAAGGGATGCAGTGCATGCTGGGAAGCTGAGCACCGGACTGCAATGTGTTTTAGTCAACAGAAAGGGACTGTGGAAAGACCCATGAGCCAGAGTGGAAAGACCCATGAGGTGAAGGGCAAATGAGGACCATGTGGGAATGGAGTCATTATTACTTACACCGTCACCCTTGCCACCGGAAGAACCTTGGGGTCCGGGCAAACCTCGGTCTCCCTTCTCTCCCTGCTCACCAGGGGGTCCGATCAGACCAATCAAACCTGGATGACCCTGTAGGACGAACACAAATGTGAAAACACAAATAACAGTCAAGTATAACAGCAATGTCCCTTTGTGTCCTCAAACTTCAAAGTCTTTGCATACATTTCTGACATGGGAAAAATAGCTCTCTTTCATAAAACTAAAACGCACATGAGAGGCTGTGAAGGGTGAAGTTCCATTACCATACAAATCCTCAGGCATTATAATTGAAATTTCTCTCCAGCAAAAGACCCACGAAAAACACAAACAATCCCCAACAAAGAGGATGACTGTGAAGTATGCAAGCTCTAACCAGGCCCAATGATTTGACAGCATTATAAACACACAACACGGTTCCACTTTTGTGTGCTTTAAACTGCCATCATGTCATTGTGTGGGAGGCAATTTAGATGTGTAGAGTAATGTGAGCTGTCTGAATATCCTTTGCAGTTATATTTCACCAGCAAATATGACGGCGGCAGCAAAGAAAAATAGTGACGAAGAGATTAGATGGATTAGAGTGATACATCACATTCAGCTGCATATTCAATCCTGTTAAGAGTGTTTCTCTTAAAGTAAGGTAAAAACTAATTTTGTTTCCATAATGTTAACATAATAGCTATTATCAACGTTGCTTTGTAATACTAAAAGATGTCTTGCATTGATCGATTGCAAAGATTTGGAAGCTGTGAATATAAATCTGAACCCAGATCACGGTCCTGCAGAGTCCTGTCACTGTTTCTGTGCTTATGGTCCAGCCTATTTGGAACCTGGGAACTCTAATCAGCTTGCAACCAGTGATAAGAAAATGGGGGTACGCTCACCTTTTCACCCTTAGACCCAGGGTCTCCTTTCAAACCAGGAAGGCCAGGAGGACCCTAAACAACAAAAGCAGAAGTAAAAACTCAATTTCACAGAGAAAGACGGAAAAGAGAGAGGATAGAATAAGTGCAACTAGCTAAGACAAAACATTTCAGAGAATTAGGCAATAAGGACAAAGAAACATGAAATGACAAAATGTCACGTAGGAAACCATCAATGTTTTACAGATATAGGGAAAGTTCTGTTTTTTTATTAAACCTCTATAAACTATTCCAAATCAAGAGAGATTGTGAGAAAAAGGGAGAGAGATAGCAAGATGTTATGCATACTAACCATAGGACCAGGTGGACCATCTTGTCCTGGGGCTCCAGGCAGTCCTTGTTCACCCTGTGAAAAGGCATTAAATTGCAGTGAGCATTATAGCCTGCTGTATTTTCTCCGGCCTGCCATTGATTTGCCGTCCTCAGCACGATGATTAATAGCCCAAACAGGGGGGAAAAGTGTGTGGGATAAACAAGCAAAACTAAAGTAAAAGCCAAATGGGCGTATTGATTATTCCATGAAGTCTATCATCATGCCTAAGCAGTTCCTTTTTATGTGTACACTGTATGTGTGTGTGTGTGTGTGTGTGTGTGTGTGTGTGTGTGTGTGTGTGTGTGTGTGTGTGTGTGTGTGTGTGTGTTTGTGCATGCATGTTTGTTTGAGAGTGGAGCTGGATGAACACATATTGTATCACAGCGGAAGATCACTGTTGTAGTTGAGACTTACCACAGGGCCAGGGATTCCACGCAGACCCTCTGGACCGGGCTTTCCTGAGGGTCCCTGGGGTCCAACTGGTCCGGTTTTACCTGCTGGACCCTCAAGTCCTGCTTCACCCTGTATACAAATGTTGGAAAAGCATGATGAAAAATATATCACAATTTTAAAATAGACTACATCTGATGTATTATTTTCTATATTTTTGAGAATAATTAAAATTTCAATTTCAATCAAATTCATGTCTATATTTATTTACATAAATTTGAGTCCCACTTATGCAAAATGTTGTTTTCAGGTTTTCTTTGGAGCCTCTCTGTATCTCAGAGTATTATTTTTTTTATCAAAATGCAGCTGCAGGCTGCTTGTAGCTTTAAATGATGCTGACACAGTATGCAGTGTGAAGATGGGGTGGATGGGGACAAGTACACAAGAGTCTAAGTTATCAAATGTGCAGAAGTGCTCCTGCTCCTCCAACTGAGGTTGTGAACCGGCACAACAATATATGATGCTACATCAAATAATGTTGTTATTTTAGGTTCATGAGACATATTTGCCTCAGCTGACTTTAATCTGAATACATCAATATGCACACAGACAAACAGAGCTCATGGAAATAAGATACCAAGCTGCAGCTGCAAGGTGTTTAAAGATTACAGGCTTACTGCAAAGTGTTCAAAGTAGTTTACTTAGTTTGTTGCTTATGCATATTGAGAGTTCAAAATACTTACATAATGTAGAAGCATAGCATAGTAGAATGTTTTAAATCCATACTGATGTAACCAGAAGGGCGTAATAGAGAGGTATGTTTGTGTAGTCAGTTGAATATATTCAGCATGCACCAGCTGGGTATATCTGATTGAGTTTATGCACCAACCAACAGAACATATGTATAGATCGAGACTATGAAACCAGTAAGTTGTTTAAAACACGTGTTGACTCAGGAACACTTTATTTAGGCTCTGATATAGACAAAAATAAATATGATAACTCTGAATATCTGAGGGCCCCTTTTTGTTATACTAGAACTAAAGTTACAGTACAATGCAAGAAAACTGTGTGTCTTAGTTTTATTTAAATAGGCTGGATCCATACATAACTGTGTGTGTGTGTGTGTGTGTGTGTGTGTGTGTGTGTGTGTGGGTGTTTGTCTGTCTGTGTGCGTGCATGTTGGGGGGGGCGGTGTGGGGTTAAATGACTTTGACATTTCAGCACTTTTAATTCAAGAGAGGAAACACTGTGGGTACGGTGAGGGGGGTAGATGGGGGACTTGCTGAGAGGACTCTACTGTGCAGAGGATGAATTGATTTGGTTACCTTAGTGCCCTTCTCTCCTTGCCTGCCCTCTAAACCAGCAGCCCCCGGGGGTCCCTGAGGAGGAGAGGACACTGCATGTCAACACAGCATCAACACAAACTGACTGTACAAGACCGTACAACAAGTAAATGTTCATCATTGACCTTTCACAATATTTCAGAGAAGAAAACACAACTCTATTCATCTGTTAGTATTTTGTTTCGTTATCCCTAACAAGGGATGATCATCACCAATAGATATTTTGTAAGGTCATCTCGAGAGCCTCTTGCCATTTCAGTTTCCTCTTTAAATATATAGCTTGCCTGGTAAATACTTGGTGGGTGCTATTTTTGAGCAGGGTAATGATCCAATGCCCTTGAATGTGCACTCCTTGAGTGATTTGAAGATCTATTTGAATGATTGGACATGCCTTTGTCTGCCCTAAAAGACACAGCCTTCTCCAGCCATGCCATGGGTTGGCAGGTTGTCTTGTCTGTCTGGTGAGCTCCACCTCCAGTCGTCCATCTTCAGAACCGCTCTTCATCCAGAATCCACTCTCATCCTCGGCCGACTGAAGCCTGAGTGCTACTGACTGAGTGTCTATAATGTAGGCTCGCCTCCTGTGTTGGAGCTCTCCTCTTCTTCTGATGTGTGCCTCTTAGAGGTGGGGAAGAGGCAGGCTCTTGATCAGCCGAAAGAGCCATCTCAATGATATAATGCAGCTAAAGTCTTTGTGTAGGGGCATTCTCTTTTTGAGGTTGCCTTTTGGTCAGCTCTGCAGCATCAGGTGTGTCTTAAGTGCGTACAATGCTATCAGTCCCGAGAATGGATAAAAGGTTAAACAATTAAGTAGTAGAATTAAAGTCAGATAAGACTAATAACTTTTTAATGAAGCAAAGTTGAATGCATTTTTAAGCATTAAGGTATAGGCAAATTAGATTGGATACTATTGGCTGTTATGTTAAATTGACTTATTCAGAATCATAGGCTGTGCTGGAGAGAGATTGTTGCATTTTTTTTTTCTACAGGCCGAATGCTGAGAAGACAGATTCTGAAGCCACCTAAACAACTCCTGCTGCAGAATTTTGTATTCTAGAGAACCACCTCTCGGGAGCAGCAGGATTCATCTTAGGTCCTATTTTTTCCCTAAGCCATTAAAGACCTATGAGTGATAAAATAGCCCTATTCCTTCCCATAATCCCATGGCCATTTAGCTGCAGCATGTGCTGATACCATGCTAAATAGTCAGAATGCAAATTTTGTTGGGCACATTAGAAAAGCAATCAACCCCGGTTTTAAAATGCATGACATGTTTCTCTCCCATTGGACTGAGCCTTGGAGTCTTTCTTTGAAATGCAGTCAGTCATTTGAGATAGTGACTTTTCTTTCAAATTCAGGAGAGTAGCAGCTCATTTTCATGTGGACTTGGAGCTTCACATCATATTGGAAATATTTTAATGTTCAACCTCAGATGTGTGCATTCAAAAAGCAGCTTACTGGCATTTCAGTTATCTCAAACTCATACTGTAATATGAGATACAGAGAGAATAAACATCAAATAAACATACACTTTAATTTGGTAAAATCTTAGTTTTTTCTCCTAACTTGCTTTTTATAACTTTGGAAATACTAACCTAATAACCTAGAAATAAAGTATAACCCACTTCCCTTTTAAAATCACATCAAAAGTGGGCAATCCCAAAGTCCCCCCCTCTCCTGTCATAACCTTCTAACAACTTTAGCTGGTCTATGTAATGCCTTTGTTTTGCTCTGACTGTCAGTCCAGCAGCCACGGATCAATATTGTGTCAGACTTGCTGTATACCTCTCTCGCTTTCTTCCCACAGCCACAAGGGCGTAATGAGTTTGGACCCAGGGCTCTTTTGTTCCAGCTGCTTTGGAAAGCCTTTTCAATTTCTTGCTAAAAAAAGATTCATGAATTTCAAATCCTGCCATTCATTTCTCAACAGGCTTTAAGGGGGATTTATTTTGCAGACAGCGCAACGCCTTGACCCCTGAAATCTTCCACTTTGTTTTCCCAACTCTACTTTTAATGAAAATGAATCTCTCCTGCTTTTCTGCCAAGATTGAGCTGTTGAGGAGATGTTGTTATAAAGCAAAGAGTACAATGCCAACAAATACACACAATAATGTTTACAACACTGTTGAAGGGAGATTTGACTGAATAAGACTGAGTAAGAGATTTGATATCAAAACAACACACTCATGCATCGATACAATGGTCTATCTTGGGATGTTTTGATGGCATCACACTTACTCTTTTGCCAGGTGGTCCAGGTGGGCCAGATTCTCCTGATGGACCTGGAGGTCCCTGAAAACATGAAAGAGAAAGGAGGATGCTATTACAGACACAGACACAAGTTGTGTTAGCAAATGAGTCAGTGCTGATATGAATTTTGATTGAGCGAGAACATATTGGGGAATATTCAGCCAGGATCGTCCAGAAGAGTTGAGCCAAAACTCAAAGTTGGATGAGGCACTTAACTGCCTGAAATGATACATACTGTGATTCCTGACACACTCTCTTCCAATTATGTGAGGTAATTGCAAGCAATCAAACCACTTTTTTATCATTCGCATTTGTTTGGTAGGCAGCGTTATTCAGCTGTTTGATAGGACACAGTTACATGTTAATTACAAATAACTCAAGGATAGATATGGTGTCCTCTTAAATAGCACTGTGTCATTATACAAAAGTGTATCAGATTTTAATATACCTTTCTAAACACTGTTTTCCATTTCAGAATTCAATCAGAGTTCATGAAAATTCATTCATTCAAAATTGAAATATGTAACATTCATGTTCAATGGTTTGTATGTTTTTGGCATTGATAAAGGCTCATTAACATTCATGAATGTTAATTGAGAGTTGTGAATAATAGCGCTTTGCACAGAGCCAGGACATCACTGGCTTTTATTTCTAATTACATTTCATGAATCTGCAAAGCAGATAAGTCTATTTACCTTACTCCCCAGAGTATGGACTCAATATCATGAATTAAAACGCTGCAGTGCTCATTTTCTACTGACTAGATGTGATAACAGCTATCACTGCAGTCCACTTTTGGTGGACTTCTTTAAAATAAAAATAATGTCAAAAGTAAATATTTATACACAGTGGTAAAGTAGCTGAATATTATGAAAGTTATATTATATAAGATGTTTGTAAAGCGTCCCTTAACTGAATCATAAAAGGTGCATGATGTATGCTCATGCAGTCATTTGTTCTGGCCAAATATTTGTGAAAAACCAACTTACCGCCTGTCCAGCCTCCCCATCATCTCCTTTCTCTCCTGATTCTCCATCAGTTCCCTGTAGAAGAGGGATGTGCTGGTTAGATAATGTATGCCAATCACAAATAGTTATCTTATACCTTAGATATCATAATGCTCCAATAATGGAGTTAACATAATTTACATTACGAAAAATTGCATACATGAGCCTGTATGAAGTAAATATGGCTACAATATTTCATACTTACAGCGACACCGGCTTCTCCAGGAGGACCAGGGTCTCCTGGGAATCCAACAGGACCCTGCCAGAGAAAAGGAATGCATCAGAGTGGCACTAGTAACCTGAGGCGCTGCAATTGAGACATCATTTCCCTGAACATTGGGATTAAGGAAAGTCATTAAGACAGTCATTTATTCTAGGTGCACCCGATGACAACCATTGAAGGCACTTTGATGGACTTAATGATGATGTTGCAAATCCATGAGAAAAAGCCCCCCTCGCATTCCATTACCGTGCGGCATAAAATATAAACTCTGTCAATTAAAAGGCTCTTTAGCTCTTGAATATGTTCTAGCATAAAATTGCCGGATTCAAGGCTGGTGAGGGAGGTTTACTCTAAGCAGTGTATTTGAGCATGTTCGTCTGAGCGCTGGCAAACACTCTTTGCTGATTGTGAGAGTATTTGGCAGACTTACAGGGTTGCCTTTTGGACCGTCATCCCCAGGGGGTCCTTTGGCACCGGCAGGTCCAGCAGATCCAGAGGGGCCAGACTCTCCTTTCTCTCCTCTCTCGCCTTTAGGCCCCTACAGTAGCGGGGGGTAAAAGAGGACATTCATCAGTACAGTACCACAGGGGGCCGCAATAATAGCCTACACTGAACTGGATAAAAACTGATGTGTGGACACAGCCTGCTGAGAGAATGTTGGATTCAAAGCGGATATCAGTGTGAGTGCCAGAGGACCGCAACACTGCAGATGTTGAATAAGGTAGAAAAGTCTACCTGCGTTTTTCAGCTGCATGAGCTCTTAGGTATAATGTTACTGGGTTTTTACAGTCCTGTTTTGTATTATGCATGAAGGGAATAAGCATAGCAATGTATTATTATATTATATTGTGTCAAATCGTCAAATGAGTCATAACATTTCTTTTTGTGAGTAGTATTTAATGCACACACTAATGATGTCTACAGTAAATTGTATAGTTCGGAATTATTGAGTAATTACTGTCCCAATGTCATTAGTACTTAATGAAACACTTCAATGTAGAATGACTTTAAGGATAACTGAAAGGCTATGGGTTGGGCTGTACTTTTGATTGAGACTCAAGCTGCACACTGACTTTGGCAATGTCAATGACACCAGCCGCTTGCTGGGAAAGTAGCAGGGGATATTATGAATGCTTGTTACCATGCTCCACTCCCACTGGAGATAGGCCATATTTTCAATCTGCTGTTGTACCCCAATAATGATAAATGACACAGCCATCAATGATGGGTGATTGGTAAAAGTTAAATAAATATCTGTGGGGCAATAAGCAAGCACCTGGATAAATTAACATGCACTCTTTAGAATTGTTTACTTTTTTGGCAATCACCATAACAAACACTAATACGAACAATCTACAAACATGGTATTGAAGCGGAGTAACACACCTTTGTATATCCTTCACTTCTGCACCATTGTGGCTATCGAAATAGGGTATAACTTAAAGCTCTACACATAGGGTGTGTTGTTTTAATGCCATCTTGCTTCATCGTCGCTGCAATCATTGTTCTTTAGGACAGAAGCACCACAGCGTATCCTCCTGGTAATTATGTCTTAAGAGTCTGGGAAGAGACTCAATTTGGCAGGCCATGTGGACATGGTGTGCAAAGCAGAAGAGCCATGCTGAGATGAACAACCAGCCCCAATGTGAGGAGAAATTACTTTCAGTGTGATGAATACACAGTGCCACACCGAAGAAAAAAAGCCTTCTCGTCAGATTGGATTTTGCTCTATATTCGCCTTAAGCTATCCATTAAGCATCTGTTTTCCTGGCGATAAACTTCAAATGTATATTGCTGTTGTTGCTTATACTGTTTACTACCTTGTTGCAGCAACACAACATTTTACCAACCTTACTAGGGTGTACTTTTAAGTATTGTAGAATAAAGACAAGGTACTTTTTTAGTAAGTAAAGGCTCTGTAAATAATCATGCTAAGGGTGATTGGTATGTTAAAGCCTAAAAAAACGTCATACGTGTTGATAAGCTACCTACACACACATAATCATGATGGCATAAACATACATAAAGGAACACAAACATTGGTTACTCCTGGAACACATATCCAGATTGACAAACAATCTCACTCACCCCAGTTCCGGCCTCTCCGGGTTGTCCTGGGTTTCCGGCCTCACCTTGTTCGCCCTGTGGTTAGACAAATGTTAGAGTCTGGACAAAGAAACCTTTACCCTCCTCATGGAGAGTTGCAAATTCACTTGAAGTATTTTTAAAAGTTACATTATTTACTGAAATAGTTCTCCATACAGTAATCCATATCAACAAAAGACAGTCATATAACTTTACTATTACAGCAGTTGATACAGGAACTGTATTCAAAGTGGCCCTTGTAAGAGTTGGTAGCCCTTCATCTTTCATATTCCAGACTCATTTAAATTGACATGGTAAGGTATTAAGCATTTATAGCCTGCAGTAAAATGGACGAATCTTGTGTTGTAAAACGGACATTACTAGGGTCAAGTCACTAAGTCAGACAGAAGGCCTGGGTTTATAAAGGGAAAAGACTGCTGGTAGTAACAAAGGGGGCTGGAATTAGTTGGCCAGCAGTATTTCATTCTCATTGACAAACGTCACGTCAGGCAGGCTATAGTTGTGACTCTTACCTTCTCGCCAACTGATCCCATGGGGCCCACACCACCTGGAGGGCCTTGGGGACCCTGCAGCAGGAAATGAAGAAAGAGATGAGTCATCCTCCATTTGGTAGTGGAGTACACTTGATGATATCCAGGCAAGACCAGTTAAGATAGGTGAGTTATTGCCACTAATGATGTGTTTAACATTATGTCACAGTCTTAAACACAACAGGTACATTACTATTATAACACTTTGTCTGTTATCAATCAGCCATACGTACATCAGCTCCACTAGAACCCTGAGGACCTCTGGGACCAGGGGGACCGGGAGGGCCCTGCAGAAAAAAACAGTGTTTTTAAAGTGCATTAAACAATTAAAGTAAATTAAAGTGTTTGCAAGAAGCAGAGGATTGTCTTACCATGGGGCCAACATCACCGTTCTCTCCCTTCTCACCAGGAGGTCCAGGAAGCCCCTGAGGATAACAAAAACAAAGAACGTTTTATTATCAGTAAAGAAAGTAATCATCATATGAGCACAAGATGCTGTTGGATGAATAAGCAATTGTTATCTTATTGATTTATAGTTGTTTTGCTGCTGTTAAATGCATTAACATCAGCTGTAACGGCTTGATATTCATTTTTCAAATTTGATTTGACTGTGAGAATAAATTGCAGTGATGCACTGAGATATGTAATATCTTCATGGGCCAGAACATGCATGTTTTAGCTAGAGTCTTGTCCTATTATCTGTTCAATAAAATATTCAATGAATATATCCTGAGCAACGTCAAGAACAAGTCCTACTAGATTAACTAAACTGGAGACCTTAAAAAACAGACAATGTTGTGCAGACAAACTGAATAGAGGACTAACCTAATAAGGAGCAGTGCAATTCAGTGATGACACAAGGAGTCATCTCAATATGTATCCCTAGCACATATACTAAATATATCAAATAGCTATTTGAATGAGGTACAAGGCATAGAAGGGCAAGCATGCCATGCATTGACAAGCCAAACTTAACCAGACTTTCTGAACTATCTTTTGATAGTGAAGTATTCATCAGTTATGTATCTGAAATGTTCACATTTGGATGTCAGCAGGGTTTAAGCTTCCTTATCAATACTCAGGCAAAGGGGGGATTGTTTTATTCTAAAATGCTTTCCCCGGCTCCGCTGACATGTAAGACAAGACTCCTCTTGAGTTTGCTTTTCCTTTCTAGTCAGTAAAGGTTTCATCTTCACACAAAAGGTGCAGACATAGATGTAGCTCACTCATGCATGGGAAATGAGCCGCTTGGTCAAGACCTCATGTGCGTTTGATCCCTGACATTTCTTCCATGATTAAATAGCTGTGCCCTGTTTCGCCTTCTGTGTGTGTGTCTGATTTTAATTCAGAAGCAATTTGTCATTAGTGTAAGGTGTATGATTGCTAGGGAGGATATCAGAAAATGCATTCCTTTACATGTGGTTGGACCATAAACGGACTATACGCTGGCAGTTTGTGTATATGTGCATTGCTATACATCAACGTTTTGTTTTTCGCCCCTGTTTGCAAGCATTTTCCGTGGGGATTAAAAAGTGTAAGTAGCTGCATGCTGATTCCTTCCGTGGTAAGAAATCTCAACTGTGTAAAGGTCGCCCCAGTCTGAGATCATTAGCCGCGCTACTAATTATGCAGCATGGTGAATGTGCTCAATGAGGAACTGACTATTGGAGCAGGTCAATCCCCGCAATTAATGGAATAGCTATGGGAAGTAAATGACTTCCAATTAAAAGTCCATTGAATACAATCCTGCTGAGATAGGATAGTACCTTGGAGGGATGAACAGTAGTTTATGTAATTTCATCAAGATCCCAATCTCTGCAGTAAACTCGTGAGGTTTTTAGCTAAAGGAGTTGATTACTTATAAAACCGATAATTACTAACAAATGGGTTACTAAAGAGGGGAAAGACCTATCTTGTTAGATTATTATTACAATGATACAAAACATAATCAACCCTAGTTGTAGCATGGATTGGTTGTGTGTACATTACGTTGTTCTATTTCTTTTTAAACTTAGTATTTTCAGTGGGGCTTAAACTAAATCCTTGGTTGCGTAGAGCCTACTTTACCTTATGCTTATAACATAAGAAAACAAAATGTAGCTCAGATTATCATGCCTTTTTCTCAAGTGGCATCAGTAGATGGTGTTGGCAGGAAATAAAGGCAGTAGATGGAATCTTTGAGGCTAATAGCTTGGTCAACATACAAAACGCACCAAAGATCTGATCAAAAAGTATACTACATAGGTGTAGGTGTTAACCAGCTTAACCAGCTAGTGCTTTCATTGCAACGGGTGATGTTTGTAGAGCATGCTATTGCAAAGCAGTTAAATGACAAACATATCATCCATAGCAGATAACTGTAGTTTAAAATATCAGCAAGTGTTTGAATGGGTACTGACCTGCAGACCAATGGGACCAGGAGGGCCAGGGAAACCTCTGGAGCCTTCATCTCCCTTCTGTCCAAACATACCCTGCTGACCTCTGGGACCAGGCTCTCCATCACCTCCCTTAAAAAACACACATACACACACATTCACTGGGTCCATTCCTCTCAGGTTTAACAGTTAATGCATTTTCATGTGTTGTTAACAAATATGTCCTTCTATAAGCTTTCAAAGCACTGTTGGCAAAGATGGTGTTGCATGCAATTACTCAAATAGTCATTACAATGTGTGCAATTATACAATATAACACAGAAGACACATTCAAAAGTGTCTGGTCTCAATCAGGAAAAACATTTTAGAGGTCTTTCTGTTAGGTTTGTGATGCTGCAGACATCATACATTCGATCAGGTATTTCGGACAGTTGTACTTACAGCAGGACCTGGTGCACCTATGGGACCTTGGAGACCAGATGGGCCAGGAGGACCCTAAACACAAAGAAGAAAAGTTTACACAAATGTAAAACAATTATGTATTGGGTTAAGTGTGTGGTTCTGTAACCAGGCATCTCTTAAGGAAATCTGTAACACCACAAACTACTTAATTATTTTTGAAAAATGGATGTGAAGGTGTGTTATCTATCAAGGAATAAATGGACTTTCGAAAACGCACCTGTTCTCCCTTGTCGGCTTTGCTTCCTTTCTGACCAGGCTCTCCAACCTCTCCCTGGAAAAGAGAAACACACTCAGCTCAGGTTCACTTCTTTTCCAAATGTCAACAGCTTATGAAAAAAAGACTGCAGCTTTACAAAAACAACCAATATCTGCAGCTATACCTGGTTGAAGGCACAAATATGGAAATGTGAGATTATTACTGTCCACTTTGTTGCATCGTTAAAGTCCTCAGAGACATATGTTTGGCAGCTCAGTAGAATGCCATAAAGTATCATTCAGGGGCATAATTGTTACAGGAGATGGAACGAGCAACAGTATTTCACTTTAACATCTCGTCTAATTGTGTTTGGTGGCACATTTGGTTATGAAGATGGATAGGCAAAAGTGAGAGAGACAATTGTCCATGCAGATGGAAAGAGTGAACTTGGGGATGAAGATTGATTGGCAATCTGGTTCCATCCTTAAACATGTCTCAGTTTTGCAATGGAAAAGGAGTTGTAACTGGGCCAATAAGATGTGGTGGGTGAGTGTGTGGGACTGACCTTGTCACCATCTTCTCCAGGTGGACCCTGAGGTCCAGCAGGTCCGGGCAGACCAACAGGACCCTGGACACCATCACGACCAGCAGGACCTTGAGGCCCTTTCTCACCCTATGTGAACAAAGACATTTGTTTGAATTACATCTTGAATCACCTAGTACAGCAGAACACAAACACGTTTTAGATAACAGAAAGATTTGTTGTTGGCCACTGTAGCAAAGAAATAAATACTTACAGGTGCTCCCTTCTCCCCTGCAGGTCCGGGGGGACCCTGAGGGCCAGGTCTGCCAGACAGGCCAATTGGACCAGCCGTACCAGCAGGACCTCTTTCACCAGAAGAACCCTGTGAGTGTGAGAAAGAGAGTGAACTTTGTTTTTTTGTCGAGACTTTGATACGTATCTTATATAGTTCTGTTAGCCTGAGTCTAAATATAACCTGAGTATTCTGAACAAAGCCACAACCCACGAAGTCCCAGTGCTAATGGATCAACTCACACATACACACCTACATACACAAAGCTCTTTTCAGAAGAAAACTGAGAAAACAGCAGGGGCAGGTGGCTTTTAAGTTCTCAGAAAGCTGTTCTGCTCCTTAAAAGCAGCCAGCATTGTCTGCTCTAGGGGACCCGACATCTTGATGGCTCTCTGAGCAGCTCACTGCGGCTGCTGCAAATGCATTTCTGGATGAAAGAGGCTGATGCCGTGTATCAGTACTCAGATACGCCTAAACCCATAAGACTTGACGAAAAAATGTTGTATCTCTGATGCACTCAATTATCTCAATCTACATTTATACATATACACATTTGTACAGTTATATAAAAGTATTTATTCAATGTATTTGGTTAATTTTCATAATAAATGCATTTTCCTCATGCAAAGGCTGTGTGGTAGCAAAGTGAATTACACTGCTATCGTGAAAAAAAAGTTGCGTGTCCCATTCAAATGTTGGAGGTTTTTCTTTTAAAATAAAAAAGGCTTGAGGAAACACAACTTGACAACAATCTTCAAACTGGTGTAACCCTGTTATTTCTACTCTACAGTGTGAAGTAAGGCACCTATGTATGTCTGGTTTACATCATTATAATCTTCATTATGATCGCTGAAAATCAATGAACAATTTCTGATAACACCTGCATTCACTTATGTAGAAGAGTGAGGGAGGCAACGGTCATGATGTCTCAATGACAGATATATAAAATTAAAGAACAAATATTTAACTAACGTTTGTGTGCAGGTTACTTATTTGTCAATTGTGTATTTGAGTAATTTGAGTAGTATTTTACGAGTCCAATAATAATTGATGCTAAATTAATCAAAATATGTTCAATCAAGATATTGATGCATATCTAAGTGCTAGAGTATATCCTGAGCAGAACATTAAACACAATACACACACCGTTTTCCATTAACACAATCCTATTATGTGGAAACGTGACTTAAATTAATAACATAACATTTGAAACTTCAGTTAGGGCCGGTTTGATGATATAACATGTTTTTCATATTGTGTCATATGTGTAGCAGCTGGTGTTTTGTGATTTGACTGTTAGGGTTAAAATACATGGATAGGTGCAAAAAACAACAACAGCATGATTAAGAATGAAAAGAAAAACAATCTATTTTGACAGCAGCAGCCCATCACATCTTGCTAACCATACCGATTGGTTTTGCGAAGAACCTCTAGAGACTCTGCGACAATCTGAGAAATATGAACACAGCAGGCGTAAAATGCCACGAGTCAGCCTTTGCGACGGGTGAGGCAGGTGTAGGAGCAACACCGGGGATGACTAGAAACTGACTCACCGTATGGCTGTGGGGGTGATGTTGTGTATGTTTGTGTATGTGTTTGTTTGGGTCTGTTTCTGTGTGCCAAAGCGCAATGGAGCAGGCAGTCTTGATACTCAGATTCTCTTTCGGATGATCGCTCCAACGACAAATCGCTGTGTGCATTGGGACAAGATGACATTTGGTGATGCTTTCATAGGAAAATGAATAATCAAACACTGATTACGTGACCATGATGGCTTAATGAGTTGATGTTTACTACACATGTACTTAGTTTACTAATTTACACAACTAAATGGATTTTCTTTGACTTAAGTTTGATTTTCTCTCACGTCTGAAATGCCATTGTTTGACTCTAATGCTAGTGTGGCTGCATTTTTAACTGATCTTATTTACCTTTTAATACCTGCTGGATTTGAAAAGTCAGAGGCTCTCCTTTATCTACTTGAGTTTCAGCTGTGATGATCTTGGGCAAGGCATTTAACAGCTGCTACAGTGCATTTCCATAAAGGACAAGACAAGAATGTGTGAGTGTCTGAATTCATAAATGTGCAACACTGTCCAGCTAAGAAAGAGCATGCAGCTAACCAGATCTTACCCGGGGCAATTGAAGTTTAAGATTAATAAATAATCCAAAAAATATATATATAGCTCTGTTCACAAGTTTTCCTAAAATATCCCGTGTCCCTGATGGTTCTGTCCAGGCCAGGTTTCCTTTGGAAAATGTATTTTTCTAATCTCAATGGGGCTTAGCCGATTAAATAAAGGTTTAATTAAATCATAAATCATAAATGAAAAGCAAGTATAAAGATGGGCAGGCAGTTAGGCAAGGGAAATAAGAGGCAGTTTCAAAACTTTCGTCTGATGATGTAAACTGCTTGGCATATGCAGGCTGCACTGAAACATGAAATACTCTGCACAAGCCTTCACGCTAAGCAATATCACAAACATAAATATTATATGTCAGGAAAAAAACAAGACAGAGAGGAAAGAAGATACTTTGATCTCAGGTAAAAGTATACTTACAACAGGACCAGATGGACCTTGGGGCCCCTCTCCTCCCTTCAGACCTGCAGGGCCCTGAGGAACAGAAGGGATAATCACATGAGATGTCTGTTGAAAACGGTGTTACATTCAGCCTGCACATTCTTTCTACAGTATTGCTCTGTATTTAAACATCTCTTAAACCAATCCAGTCTGGACTGTATATCTTTGTTTACTACTTTGTTAAATTGGCCTAAAATAATTGTGAATGTGAGTTTCATTTGCACATGAACATTTGTGTATAATTTGTGATTTCTGGAATACTTTTGAATGCCAATGTTTATGCCTGTGTGTGTATATGTGTAGCTCCCAAGTGGACCACAAAAGAGCACATGGCAGTATGGGGAATGAGTCTCTGTTGGCTGTGGCTGGGTGCTGAAATCAATTCCAATGGGAGGAAACAATCAGTAGTGCTGCTGGCCTGCAGAGTCTCCATGACCTTGAGGATGCAGGCAGCAAAACACTCCCTCTCCCCACAGTCTATCCATTTCCAAACACCTCAGTCTAATACTAACATTTCCCACTTAATAATTTATTACGTAAATAATAACTTTGCTGTCCCCTAAAAAAAGGTTGGCACTGAATTAAGAACAATTTAAGTCGTTGACCTAAACCACTTCTATGATAGCGGCCCATGATGCATTGTGGCGGTATAAACAGTGGTGTCAGTGTTGGTGGAGCGATGCATAGGCACGCCTGTTCATTTGTAAGATGTCACTTTGAGTTTCCTCTGAACCCGATTGATTGCTAGAAGTGAATTCCAGGGCTGTTGTTTCTAATGAAGTGAATGGCTCTAGATAGATGCTGGTTATTTGTTATGTTGCAATGTTCTGTCACTTTCTACTAGCAAACACATGTAGGGGGAAATAGGTTCAGGTGAAGTGTAGCTCTTACCGTGGCGCCAGGTAGACCTCTTTCTCCAGGGAAGCCTCGAAGGCCGGGGGGTCCGTCTTTACCAGCAGATCCCTGGGGTCCTGGGTCTCCCTTTACACAGAGACACACATGTTTGTGTTAGAATGTGTGTACTTAAATGTACTTGCTTTATTCCACGAGTGGAATGAATTGCTACAATATAAAGCTTAGAGATCAGCTAGAGGGAATTCAAAACATAAAAAGATTATAGACTATACACATCTGACAAATATAATGTATACTAATGGCTTTATACATCCCAGCAGGAACAGAAGTATATTTGTTTTGTAGCTGACATCCATCTCAATGGGCCATTAGCCGCAATTAGTTTGAGAGTCTCAACCAAGCTGGTATTGCTTTTACAGAATCAGCTTTAACATGAAAAGATTTTAGCCTCAAAACTCCAATCTAGAGACAGAATTGTGTTTAAAATGTTTCATAATATATAAAAAATATGTATTGTTTAAAGGATAAAAAAATCTAAACAAAAGTGTAATATATCAAGGGTGACTGACATCAAAAGCACAAAGATATGTTTTGACAGAAATGAGCAGATAGTGAGTTTGCTATAAGAAAAGCATGTTAGCAAAACTTGGTTCAGGTTCTAAAACTGTACACATGATCTCAACCTTTCGTAACCCTCACCACAAACACTGAACTAACTTCTAGAGATAGCGCCGATAATTGCATGGGAACCTTGTTTACTTCTTGGTTAACTTTGAAAGATTCTGGCTTTGTTCTCTTTCTTTCTTTATTGGCCGGCAGACTTATCTGCAAACATGGAGGCAGAGTAGAGTGGGCTTGAGAGGTAAAAGAGGATTTGGGGCTCTGCTGCCAAGACCTCCACAAAGTGTCCCTGGCATACAGATGCACAGGACTGAGTGGAGAGGGGAGGAAAGCGGGACTGTGAGTGGCAGAGGGTTTGGAGCTTGCCGACGGACTTGATTAAACTGTCTGCTTGGCGAAGACGGGAAGAAAATGAAAGCAGAAGACAGGGTGTTTGAGGGAGGGGATGATCAGGGCAGGCTGAGTGCTTCTGGGAGTTATTTCTTTTTTTGGAGCAGCCCATATTTCTACATAATGCCTTCTGTCTGCTAATAATGGGCTCTCGATTGCTGGCCAGGGAGGGCCAGGAAGAGAATGCCCCAACTCTTAGCAACTGTATCCTCAGCAGTTTCTTCCAGAGTCTAATAATGTACATAAAGTATTGGTGGGACTCTGGTGTTTGCTGATGTGTACTTCCGGGTTGAATTTAGAATTGAACTCCAGAAATTTAACTGTTTGTGAAAGCAGCTGGCCAATCTCCAGAATCGAATCCTTCACGATAATTGCAACTATTCATCTTGCAGCCAACCTCCATACTGTTTGTCTGAAAAATCTGATACAGATAATAACTACATCTGAACCCACTCTACTATTAAGACCGCAAATGAGCATTCATTTAAGAACAATAATTGTTGGAATACTTTTCTGCTCCAAGTACTGAACATACCTTTGCTCCCTCCTTGCCAGCAGATCCTGGAAGACCCTGCTCTCCGGGCGGGCCGGGGGGTCCAGGGTGTCCTCTCTCACCAACGGGACCTGTCTCTCCGGTTGGACCCTAAGATGCCATAACACAGTAGATTTGCAGTTCAAAACATCAAAATGACAGCTGTTATAGCTGCATTGAGGCCATTGGTACACAACACCATTAACACAATACAATACACTGCTTGCTCTACATGTACATACATTTAAAATGTTAGCCAGGCCCTGAAAAGCTGTTACCGTTTTAATACACAGAAAAATGTGTCTGAGCCACTTTAGTACTGCTGCAGTGATTTTCCAAAAGAATAAGCAGTTGTTTAAGATGATTACAATGTCAGATGATAAGATGTCAATTCAATGTATTCATTAAATAATAAAGGTCTCCTACCTGGGGCCCGACGACACCTCCTGGACCTGGTGGACCAGTTTTTCCTTGGAAACCCTGGAGAGAAACATTACAAAGGATTAGTCAAAGGGTTTATAATATCAAAGGGAAGCACGTTGATAATCTACTAAAACCCAAGGAAAGACACCGAAGGGATTCCACTGGAATTTGTTTCATAATCAGGGAAATATGTCTTGGCTTTGTATTGCTATATATATAATGTAGTAAAAATACGTTCTAAGGGTATATTAAACAAACAAGGATTAATTTAATAACACTACATTGCTGGCCGGTAATTACCTTAAGGCAAACATACAGTATTGTGATATATTGTAAACAGAGATCTTTCAATTGATTAGACATTAGGGGGAGATGGGCATATGTCAGAGGGTGTACGTAGGTATGTACAGTAGGCTGTATACACATGGGTACAGGGGTGAATATAGATGTCTATGTGTGTAGATATTGTATGTTCAACTTTTATATCAGGGAGTGTACAGTATATATGGATATACTGTATATACTACTCAAGCAAAGATTCGGGATTGAAAGTTTTCCTGAGAACTGAATAATGGCTTGCATGCACTGCAGCTTGTAAACCCCTCGTATGCATAAACATATAAAACTGGATAAGGGTTTTATGTAAAACAGTTAAAAAAGTGAACTTAAATTCAGAAATCCCATTAAAATGCTTGCCTTGACATGATTATTAAATGTAAGATAACACTAGTGGTCATACATCTTCTCTTTGAAATAACCAAATCCACTTCAAAGAGCAATACAATAAATAATAAATAAAACCTGAAGCGCATCGTGCACAGTTCTCTGTTTCAAACCCTAATATGATATCTAGGGAATCAAGCTCCAGTGAAGGCACAGCAACAAAGGGAAACAACGGTCTCTCGCTAGAATGAAACCAAGCTTTCAGGATGCCCATTCATGAAGTTCATGACCTGAGACAAAAGTGCAATATTTTACACAAACGATCAAGCACAACTGACTGGATGTGGACTAAATGCAATTGACAGGAGCCATTACTTGTCTGGCCACTGGACCAAGGGGCTGGCAATAAGATCACCAACCAATTCAGGAAAACAATTTTGATCTCCCTTACCAATGGGGACAAGAGGGCTCCCTACAATGCTAACAACAAAGAGCCATCTCTTTCTCTGCTCGAGGCCACAGACCTGTGATCGGGTTGCCATACCTGCACAAATCCAGACAACTATTCCATTTGCATCTTGTCTGTTGCACTAGTTTACTTTCAAAGCCCATAGTTGATGTACAAATGTAAAAGACAGAATCGGACCAATCAAGAACGATACAAGTTCAACATCTCAAGTGTCGACTCAAACACTGCAGCACAAATAAGATTAATTTGTGTCCGCTGGGTGAAAAACAATCCAATCTCCATTGGATTGAGATAAGAAAAGGCTGGTATCTTTACCACGCATTTAGTCATCTAATAGAGACCTATCTGCCATATATAAGTTTCTAAATGCTGAGTAAAGCCAGGCATGTAAACATGTAGATATCCATTAGTGAAACAGTAAATGGGAAGGGATTAGCATAAAGCAAACACATCAAACTCCAAGGTCAGAGTTGTGGGTGCACACTGACACAGTTTGACTTTGCCACTTGATTTTTGAAAACATCATTCATCACACTTTACACAAAACCACTTTTTAACTGATGCATTTCTATATCATTTAAAATCATAGTTTATTATCCTAAAACCAAGCAAGAACGTTTCCAGGCTTAGAAGGGAAATCCTGGCTGACTTATGACTTCCGTCTTATTGATCATTGTGCTGTGATTTATGGAAATGTTTTATTCAACGGCAACCCTCAAGCCAGGCTGTTCAGCAACAGCCCTGATTCAGAGACACCAATTCAAATCTGTATTTGCCCTTCCTTAAATGCAAGTTGTGTTGCCGGGAATGTGTGCCTTTGAGCGTCTTTATTGCTGTGATCTATTCTCATATTGGATACTTTGGGAGCATGTTCATAAGCGCATAAATCTACAGCCATTACAGTAACACCTTAATGAAGACTCTATGGTTATCACTTGAATAGCAGCAAAGGCAGGGAAGCAGCCATGTGTGGGGTATTCCGTATCTATAGGAAAGAGGCAGGCGGAAAGGGAAGCTTTAATGATAGAGGTGATGATCAGTCAAGCTTTCAGTAGAATGTATTGCTTCTGAGTCTCATCAAACCAAGGTTCACTGATGCATACAAAGTACAGAGGTGTGGCAGTTGAAACAGGGGATTGCAACTAGATGTGATCACAGATTCAAATTTGGACTTGATTCTGTTTTTTTATGTCCCATGGGAAATGCCATCTTTGCACCGATACATCTCCATGAACAGCTTTGAAAATGTAAAGGTTAAAAGCCTATTCTCATCAAGCTCATAACTGCATTCTTTAAACGGCTGAACCACTATGTTGTGCAGCTGCAACAAATGTATGTCTACTGGTATTGTTTACCTCGGTTACAGTATTATTGCTCAATTATTTTAGAGCAATGAAACCTTGTTGCAACTGGACAGTCTTAGTTTAGCATCGTTCTATTGCATATTTGTAAACTTGCCAATGTAATAAGAAGGAAAAGCTGCAACAGAAAATGATGATTTCCCAGCTCCCTGGTGTCCATCTCTATGAGATAGGAGTCTGAGCCATCTGGATTTACTCAGGCAGAATGCGTGTGTGTGTGTGTGTGTGTGTGTGTGTGTGTGTGTGTGTGTGTGTGTGTGTGTGTGTGTGTGTGTGTGTGTGTGTGTGTGTGTGTGTGTGCACAAATAGAGACAAGACAAGCAGATAGACTTAGACAATGTTCACAAGGGCTTTGACTTTAGAGTTCTGCTTAAAGAGGAAGGCCTGCCCCTTTGACATCAATCTGAGATGATGCATCAGTGATTGTAATCCCCTGCATATAAGAGCAACAGAGATAAGATGTGGGAGAGGGAGAGTGGGGGATTGAATTGCAGTGCAGCCCACTGATTGGAAGGATCAGGTCTGTCCTGCAATCGAAAGGCAATTTGAAGAATGAGAGCTAAAAATGGTCTTGTTGGAAATGTTTACATACATAGCAGTGGGTACCAGCCATTAACAAAACCAACCCAATGTATGTGGGATTAAGATTAGAGCAATGTGAGGAGATTCATAATTCAACATTTCAAAAAATATTTAAAATGACTTGACCCACTCTTGTACTATTTGTTTCAGTGGAAATCTGTCCAGGTGTGATAAATTGTGTTTCATTGAGTTTCTAGCTGAATTGTAGTTCTTCTCTTTCTACACTCAGCAGGAAGTCTCAGAGATGACTGACATCTCAAACAGGGTAATGCATCTTTAGGACTCACCGTCTCTCCACGCTGACCGGGGTGTCCAGGCAGTCCATCCTTTCCAGATGGGCCCTGTCAGGTTGAATTCACAACACACCCTTCGTAAGTTACAAAGTGCATTTATCTTGAATACATGCATATCTGAAGTGAATAACAGCAGTATGACATTGGCTTTATTGCTTGAATTTTTCCAAGCATTCATATTTATTATAGCAGTATATTGCAAATGTTTTGTAGGCACAGAACAAGTTACGAACATAATTTTCAGACTGGCAAAGTCATAGTTAGACAACTGGAACACTCTAATGAAGAAATAAAAGGTTCTGTTGAAAGGAACAACATCAGTAGCTAAGGGCTAAGAGCCAGCTATGAATGTAACCTGAATCAATAGGTGGAAATTATCACTTGTTTCCTCCCTAGACTGGGGAGTGAGACAATTGGTTCTGCTTCAGTAAAAGTTTAACTAATGATCCCATCACAGAATTAGGGTTATTGCCATATATTACTGCACTCCATGAACTTCTCAAATGTAATAATGTAGCAAACTAAGCTAATCCGCAGCTGGAAGAGCAGACAGTAGACGGTTAACTTTAGGAGCCATACAGCCGTACTAGTGGTTTTACACTTCGAGTAAGGTGTGAACGCAGGAGGAATACTTACAGGGGGGCCCTTTGGTCCAGAGAAGCCCACTGGTCCCTGAGGTCCTTGAGGCCCCTATTGAACAAAAAAAAGTCAGATGAATATGAGACTAAAGTTATGCAAAAGATAACACAGCAAAACACTGCTAAATGTTCACTGAAAACCTTAGCTCAAATCATCAGAGAACTCATCATATTGTATCAACTACTGTACAAAGTGAGGCTTGATTAACTATCAAAACTGGTTGTGACAGAAGGGTTGCTATAAATAAAGAATGCCAGTGAGAAATGATAGAAGAGATAGAAGTTGGATCCCCATCAGCACACATATGCTGATGTCTGGAATGTGTAACTGACAGAGATGTTCATATTCAAAAGATGTTTGTTAAAATCAATTTATATTACACTTTAAAGTTTATAATATGTTGAAGTCTAAAAACCATCATCATGTCATTAATACGGGGATATTAGGGAAATATTTAAGATATGAATGACACTGAATGGCCTAAAAAGAATAATATACTTACTCTCTCTCCAGGTCCACCCGGAGGGCCGTCGTTGCCTGATGTACCCTGAAACACACAAAAACAACCATCCTCACCTAATAATAATGTGTTTTCACAGTACACGTATTAAGCATGGAGTATAATAGGAGCAGTAGAAGCATTGTTTAGAAATGGTTCAATTTCTGCTTGAAAGAATATTTAAAAATATGTGTGAGTTGTGTTTTGTTGTGAGTGGTATAACTCTTGTACCTTGGCGCCAGGTTTCCCTGTTGGACCTCTGGCTCCTCGACCCCCACGAGGACCCTACAGCGAGAGAACAACAGAGTCAAAAGAAAATCCCGAAAACAAAAAAAGTTATATTAATTAATCATAACATAACATAATCCAAGAGTGAGATATACATACCGTTGGCCCTCTTTGGCCTCTTGGACCAGCTTTGCCTGCAGTGCCCTGTTAGAGAACCAACAGAAAAACACCTTTAGATATTCATTTGAAAAGGATCCTTTTTTTCACTATCTCCATGAATTAACAGCTTTCCGAATGTGAATCAAGATAGGCAATGTCATAGTTTACTGTTGAATGCAAAACCAACATCTTAAACATTTTCTCATGCATTTTTTTAATTGTGTTGAAGCAACACGTTTTAGAAGTCTAGAAATAAGGGAGAGGGACTCAGTGAGAGCACATTCTTTCCACAGCTTTTGTTCCCACATTGATTTTGTTTTTGTTATTTTCTGTGCCAAGACACAATACAGGTGCCTTTATTATAGCAATCAATTTTCTTTTGTGCAGGGATATCATTGCGGGGTGAATTTGAAACTGAAACAGGTAAAGTGTGTGTGTGTGTGTGTGTGTGTGTGTGTGTGTGTGTGTGTGTGTGTGTGTGTGTGTGTGTGTGTGTGTGTGTGTGTGTGTGTGTGTGTGTGTGTGTGTGTGTGTGTGTGTGTGTGTGTGTGTGTGTGTGTGTGTGTGTGTGTGTTCTTACCCTTGCTCCTTTCTCGCCATTGGCTCCAGGGAACCCAGGGAAACCGCTTGAGCCCTGTCAATAACAGAGGGAGTTATCATGGAGGGGTAACAAGAGATTCTGGATCGGTCAGGGCATGCATGATGATGAAGTTTCATACTGTAATTGTCGGCACTATTGTTAGGTATCATCCTCGGTTATCCACGATTGTTTGACACCCTTGATTTTGCAGATGTCTTAATTTTGTTTTCTAAAAATTATCTTCATGTACTTTTTTAAAATTGTTAAACCCATCCTAAATAGTCCTGTTAAGTGAAAGTGTTGCATCAAAATCACATTCCCAGCTTTTTCTACAATCTTTATCAAGTTGGCATAATAGAGGAAGTTTGCATGCAAATTCTCTAAAGTAATATGAGCACACGAACACATACACAAAGAGAGGAGAACTTAAAAACAAAAGGCTTAGCGTAAGACCATTGTAAACACAAGCCAAGGTGACAGGTTTTTGCCTTAAGTTAAACTCTGTGAGCAGGGGATTAAAAAGCAGCTTACCCATTGTGCAGCACCTCACCACAGGTTGCATTTGGGACATTCAATAAAAAGTCAATCAATGACAAGCCATGACTTCCTCCAAATGTAATAATTCCACAAATCCAAATAATGTTGAAAACATTATGTTTAATGGGTTATTGTCTATAAAATGTTGCTCTGTCAAACGTTGATTTGATAATGGCCTTTAATATGTGATCTAAAGAAACCCTTTGGAAATTGTGCCTCATTAGAAAGTGGTACCAATATTTACTAAAGGCATCATCTTTCAAAGGTATGCTTCATTTCAAAAACTGTCATGTTTGCGTATTGCCATATCAAAGCATGACGTGAAATATGTATTTCACAAAAGATCAGCACCATCCCGTCGTTCTCCCCGGGATTGCATGTAACGTTTGTCTGCTTTGACTGAGACTCTGTACTCAATTGATTATTTTTCATGACAAGGTGCAAGTGCAGATTTAGTTAAAAAAACATCCCCTATGGTTGTGAGAGTGTAGTAAGTTACCTTAGGTCCTTGTCTTCCGGGATAACCTGGCAATCCTGGAACACCCAGTTTACCCTGAGAGACATTAACAACACGAGACATCAGCCCAGCAACACAACTTAATCACAATGAGAGCAACAACATAACAATTCAGAAGAAAACACATGATTCTTGTAACGGCTTTCCATCATCCCTGGTCATTGAGCCATATTACCTTTTCTCCAGCAGGACCGAGGGGACCTGACTCTCCGTTGGGGCCAGATCGGCCTTTAGGACCCTCAGGACCATCCTCTCCACGGGACCCAAGCATGCCAAGCTCACCCTATGACACAAACACAAAGAGTATGAGGATGATGTACGGACATCACATGTGTCAGAACTGACTGGACACGTGGAAAGACATTTGTATGACAGACGATCTTCCTTACCCGGTCTCCTTTGATTCCCATATCTCCCTTGAAACCTGGGAAACCATCCTCGCCCTAAAACAAGACAAAAATAACTTTATTGCATCTGCCAGTAATTGTTTGGCTATTTCATTTTATTTGGTTTGAGGCATTTGCTTATTTCCCACCAAGAGACTTAGCATGGACTGTTTTGTAATATTTACTAACTGCAGGAACTACTGAAGTGTTCTGATATGTTGTATTAAATGAACATCTGTTAAGAATTCAGCCTGCTCATGTTCACTCTGTGGAGGTTTGGTGCTGCCCTCTGCTGGCCAGAGAGTTGAACAGCATGTGCAGGGACTCAAGTTCAGCTGTTGGGCTGTGCTTTATGTACATATTCTCCAGCACCTGCACAAACTGATTAAAGGCATGTGGAATAGTTTGATGTTATACTAATATCTCATACTCAGATATGACCATTTTAAAGCATTTTAGCAGTACATTAAAAATAGCTTTTATGCAATAAAACCGTAAACCTTTTTGTGAATCTTAAAATTGAATCAAAAGTGTCTGCATCAAATCAAATAGATTGTGAAGAACACTGTTTACTTTAGCCAGAGTCCTTTCTTTTTTTTATTCTGTCGCCTGTCCATGTTTTCATCCTTGTCTGATGCATAATGCAGCAAGGAGCATGTTTGTTGCCATCAACTCCCGTCACAAAGACCACACACACACCAACAGGTACACTCACACCTGAGGTAGAGCGCATGCTTAATTCATAAAAAACCCTTTCTCCTCAAGGTTTGGCTTTTGAATCTCTTTCTTAAGTATAAATAATGTAACGATAATGTACAGCAGCATAGTTTTATTGATCTCAAATAAATGTCATGAATATTAAGAGACAGCTTGCTTACTTTAAATTCTGCATGTTGGCACACACAGGCACACTTCAAAAAGATTTGAGATGGATTGTACTGTTCTTTAAAACCAAAAGCCTCAAGCATGACAGCTTTACATTCAAAAACCGATTGAGGGTCACTCCAAGAAAGTCTCTGTCTGCTCTGAAGATATCAAGCCATCCACTCCAGCTCAAAAGAGCCAAAACACAGTTGGGAGGGAAGGTGGACAGCCATAGTTACAGACAGAATATCTGTGACATGAATATATTTACAGGCTGCTGTCTTCACCTTTATCCCACAGTGAGGAAAGTTTAGACAAACCCTGACATAGTGCATGTGGATTTGGACGTGTATTAAATTTTAAAGTCTCAACTTGTCCAAGCAATTTTTGCTGGATCAACTTAAAGTTTCTGCTGCCATCGGTGGTAAACATATTTAAATAATATATCTTTACAAAACTGCACAAATCTTTCTGGAATTAATTTTTGTATTTAGATTAAAATAAACGGTATCAATTATAAGCTTTGTTGCTGCTCAGTGGCTATAATCAATTGAGAAAAGATGGGAAAAAACGTAGCATTTTAAAAGGTTTATACCTTCGCTCCCTTTCCCCCCTTAAGACCACGGACACCATCAGCACCCTATTTGACAGAAAAGATGGATTAATTAGCATCAAAATCACAACAGAATTCAATACAAGTAATTACAAATAATCCAATCCAATGACCACATAATCAAAGTGAAACCGTACCTTGACACCACGAGGGCCAGGATAACCAATAGGACCCTGTGGACCTGATGGACCCTGTAGAGTAGAAAACATTGCATGGTCATGATAGTCAATGCTTTACTGTGGTAATACGACAGGTCTTTAGAGATGTAGGGGTGTGCCACTGCATGTCTTCATAAGCATATAAGATGCAACTTTGAGGACTTTGTATGAAATGACTTTAGGTTTTCAGTTGTTCTGAGTTTATATTATATTTCCTAATACGTCATGGCGAGTTTAACATTATATCCACATTTGTTATGAAAATATTGATTATATTAACTGTACTATAAAATATTAATGTTCATCCATGAAAACACGCCTGAAGAAGTATTACCTGATATAAATGTTAACCAAAATGAAATGAAAATTACAATATTGCCTCGTAACCCTAACTATTTTTGAATTAACATTAATTCGTTAGAAACAATACCATTTTAATTGACAAAAAACATGTTATTCCTTTCTTGAAACCTAATCTCAATCGCGTTATTTTTCCTAATGCAAGAAATATTGGTAAACGCTAAAGTGACACACATGGTACATTATCCTGTAAACACTACTATCAGTACTTCAACTGCACTAAGACATCTTGGTAATCTTCCCGATGTAGCACACACACATGCATATAAATATCTTACCAAATTATTTCTAAAATATTAAATACACTTACCAGGGCTCCTTTCTCTCCAGGTGGTCCCTCTTTACCAGGATGACCCTGTCAAATAAGCAGTCACAAAGTTGTTAAAAGTGCTTGTTACAATGATGTGTTGGTCGTAAAAGCTAATCTCGATTGCATGGCAAATCTGAGAATGACAGCAAACGCCAGGCAAGGAGCTCACTAACCAATGAACTGTGTTTATGAAACTCACACAGAGGAATCTGTATATACCTTCTCTGGTTGAAAACCATTTTAAAAGGACTTGGTCTGATTCACACCAACAACACAGGTGTTTTTCTCTTGTCTGCTGCACAAATTTGATTGTTTGTGTGGTGGCCACTGGTGGTGGTGTCAAAGTGATGGGACAGGTAGGCATGCCCATACAAACTTCTGCACACACATCTTTGCACACACACACACATGGCGTCTTTCAGCTGTGAACACCTGTCACCTCCAATTTGAGGCGCGAGGTTGAAGCAGAAGGCTGTAAATCACGAGGCTTTGGGGCCTGAGGGAAACTAAGGGCTGCCTGCATCTTGAACTTAGACAACTCTCCTAGCGAGGGGAGAGAGGGAGGAATGACATGAGCTGCAACAGGTCGAGAATAACTAAACTCAAAGGCACATTTCTTATATATTTGCCTTGAGAGATTTCTGGGGGCATAGAAGTATTTGACAAGAAGGCTCTGTGTGTGTGTCATACACCAAAAGGGTAAACCCACCAAAACGAGTGTCCATAGTCTATATATCATACATAATTGTATTTTGTTAGATAAAACAGTTTGCAAACCTTCTTAAGACATATAGTCTAAATGCATTGTTATACTGTATATCTGAATACATTTCTAGATGGGGATTTGTTTTAATGTCAAGATCTGCAGCTGCAGCGAGCCGTTTAGTGGAGAAAGTGAATACTGCTGAATACACATACTTTACAGAGATGCTGTATGCAAAACCAATGTGAGTTTGGAAAATTGCACAGTATTTTTCTATTTTAGTATACCTCAACAATGGAATTATGATCAGTGGAAATGGCCATGACATGTGACCTTTAAAATCAGTAAAAGCACTCATTGTGCAGTGAAATTGTTTCTGGCAGTGTTTTATTATTTTTGGGATGCTTTTAGGTTTTTTATTACTGCTGCATTAATGTGTATGTTGCATTTGACTTCTGTACATGATAATGGCCGAGTCTGATCTGATTTGCTATCAAAGTATTTTTGTCAGAATCTG